CTGTAATTGAAGCGACGAAGTGAAGTGATGTGGATCCCGTGATTAAGGAGTGAGCGGCGCTTTATCCTGTCTCGGTGTGGGTTAATTACACTGCTGGTCAGCCGAACGGTTAAGTGTTCAAAACTACCAGCCGGGAAGTCGCGGGTTCGAGACCCTTCGAAGTTTCGTGAGATTTGCACAGCTGATGATTCCCAATAAGGATGAAACAGCTGTACAGTGCTTCTCGGCTTTTCAGCATAGATTGGCTTCACTTACAGGACGAAATCCCACAAAAATTCTTCCATTTACACGGGCAAGAGGGAAGCACACTAGGGTGCTGCATTTTTCACATATTAATATTCTTTTGCAGTGTGGCTCATTTATTGCATTCCGAAAAACAATCAGCCACTTTAAATTTGATGAAGAAAAACCAGTTTTCGGATTTTGCATTATGTCTGCTGGCTATTCGTGCTAATCAATTGGAACTCAGGGCCATTTGAAAGATAGTTACTTTACAGGAGTTGCAACGCTAATAATAACAGGATAAATAGAGAAGCCAAGTATGTAAATAAGACCCCTCAACTCCTGAAATTTAATACCAGCGGTTGAATCCTCGCACCTATTGGAAACTATTCCGAATTATTCAGTCTTTTTTGTAAGATGGTTGTTAAGAATAATATACGAAAGATCACGTGTCCCAAGGAAGGACGTACGGTGCTATCAGATTTGCCCGTCATAGGCAAATCGGTGTCTTGCTGACGGACAACAAGTAATATGGAATTCCTTTAAGCAATATACTGGTTAAAATGATTTGACATATAGGAATCCTTCAAAGTAAATTGAATCGAAGATCAAAAATCCAAAAAATTATCTCCAGAAAAAATGGCATGCTTGATTACCAGAAAAAGTTTAAATAATATTTCAATTGTTGGTAAGTAGTTAATCACTGGCATGCGGGAAGATAAAATCACTTCAAAAATACGTTCTTTCTGCAGCACCATTTCAAGCAAAGGCTCAAAAACAGCAATATGTTACCGCAAAAGAAAAGTTAATTGCTCAGAAACTCAAAAAAAGAAAAAAAAATGACGTTCATTACCAATGTAACCCTTTAAACTTCACCTGCGTGAGCTTATGCAACTTCTGACGCGATCAGTTCCCATTCAGTCGAGTGTTAAATTTAACTAGAATGTATACTCAACTGTACGTTTGGAGGAACATCGATCGTTTGAAAGACATTCCACAACGCTCAGGTGAGCATAAGTATTCACCATTTAGGAAATTGCTCCGATCCTTACGTTCGGTTTCATCATAAATGAAATACCACGTAGTGAGCCCATTCGGCCGAATGGCAACGATATCCCGAAATTTCTTTAAAACGATCTAATGATGGCAAAGTGTACAAAAGCAGATGTAATAAAAAGTTACCTGTGTTGATGCTCTAACAGAACCCGAAAACTAGTTATACCAACGAGAAAACGGGGAGCACTAACAATGTCCGCTTGTTGAGTAAAATTACTACAATAGATATATACGCAAAAAATGGACTTATCGTTTTGCGGGTACATGTTGATAAATCCTGTTGTGAATCCTGATGTAGGTTTCGTGTCTTCTTCGCAGTCGTAACAGCCACACGTAGTCCTCGATATCCGTGAG